GAAAATGAACAGTTTTAAATAATGATTGGTATAATCTGATTTGATTTTGCTAGGTCAGGGGTTCATTAGCACTAAACCACTTTGAGGAAAAGTTTTACTTTCCTTGGGAGTATCTACCTGCAGCTATTTAATGGTATAATGTATATTATTCTAAAGTAATATTATTTACTATCATTATGTTTGGTATTTTTATTGTTGTAAGAATGGATAAAACATAGTTCACTTTGGGAGTTCACAAATTGGTAAGTAGGAGCTCTGCACCATAGAGAATACATGTCATTATTTTAGGCAGATTTCTGTATGCTTTCCTGTCTTATCTAAAGAAGATCTGGTTTTTTTATGTAATTACTGTTATTTCTTTAGTATAGAAAGTACTACTCATATTGAGACGAAAAAAGCTCCGCTGTCCATATTCTCATACTTATCTCTCTATTAATCCTTATTCTGGAGTTTTATGTAATTTAGAAATATACAGACAGTTGTCTAGATCAGTGCAAAAAGAAATAGTTTTTATAATTTATATAAATAGCTGAAATAACCTATGTTCTTCCTTTAAATGGTAGGTTCATGGCATCCGGAATGATCTTGATAAAGAAAGAGGGGATGCTCAAAAGAAAATTCGCAAACTGGAGGAAACTTTGAAGTGAGTGAATATGGAGTAATTGTTGCACAATCTTCAATGTTTTTAGTCAAGTTTATTGAATAACAGTATGTTTTCTCTCATCTGACTGCTTTCTATAATTTGTCTTCCTATTGTAAAGATGCATCTTCAGAGTTCTACTCAGCCATAAAAAAATTAAAAAAGTAAAGCAAGAACCAAGCCACACAAACCTCTTGACTTTCAAGGGGCAGGAATAAACCAGAATCAAAATTAGTGATGTCAGCTGGTCTTGCCCTGTCCAATAAATGAAAACTGGCTTCAATTTAGAATGGATACATAGTAGGCAAATAGGTCAAATTAAAGGCTAGTTGCTTTTGACTGTTTTAAAAGAAAGGATACACTTGAAAGTTGTATTTGCTTAAATTATATTTTAACTTAATTTAGTATATGATGTTTGTGATTTCTTTTTCCTTAGAATTACTTTAAAAAGATCCATAAGTAACAACCTTAATGTGGACTTCTCTTTGATACTACACTTTTTTGTTTGCATATGTATTTTTCAAATGCATCTAAGGCTTGGAGAAATGGTCTGCAGCAAACAGAAGACACTTTTTGTTAACTAACTTGGAACAGCTTTTTTGCTGACCTTGTACATTAAAAAACTAATCAAGATGCAACAAGTTTGATGTTCTCTAAGCAGAGGAGTGGTTTACATACAGCAGATACACACACGACAGGATCGACTCTGGTTTTGCTGTTTCCATTTTTGATTATGTACTTTATTATTTCCATATGCTTATCCAGTTTAGATTCAAAATTATGGAAATAATTTCTGGGGAGAACCGGTTATTCTGAAACAAACCACAAGTTATTTACTAAAACAACTCAGTTAAATGTTGCAGTGTATCTTATCTAGGCTGATAGAGGCATTGTGAAGATATTTTTATGCCATAAAAGTCATAGGGCTGAAGTCTGTATTAATAAAAATTCTAGGTTTTAATCTTTAAACTCTTTACATTTACTATTAGTTACAATCTTAGATTGAATTGTTACTAACTAAAATTAATCTTTTAGTATTGTAACATCTGATTCATTTATACTGGAGTTGTGTTAATTATCTTCCATGTCTTTCAAATACCACACCAGTTTGCACTTCTTTTAGTAAAATAAATCTAACTTTACCATGTCCTGGTGGCTCAGAATTTATGCCCCATGTGGGTGCTCTCAGTGCAGGTGGTGGTGCTCCACCTGGGGCAGGGCTTTGTAAAGTCTGTGGAGTTTCAGCTGGCTTGTAATAACAGCACTGCACTGAGAAGCTCTCGCAGATAGCTGAGGAAGTCCTTTGAGTTGTTCCCTAGCTGTAATTAAGCTTAGGTTTAATGTTTGGGTTAGAGTAAGGGTTTGAGACTAAAGTTTCAGGAGCCCAGCTGACTGGTAGATGCTTCAGGGCCCACAAATTACCATGGTGTTGGCAGAAGTTGTCCCAACCTTATGTTGTGTGTGAGTAGGTCCTTTGGACAAGACTGAGGCTGGGTCAGCTCTGGGACTGGAGACCTCTGGAGAGTGTTACACAGGTCACAGGTTACAGTATGCTGTGACTATTTCCCCTACAGCATGTGATCAACACATCTTCCCAGTTTTCAAAGTGTCTTCTAAAACAAGCTACTTCCACTCCTATTGCAGAGTACTTTGCCCAGGTTCACTTCCATGTCCCGTGCACACGTGGGTGCACGTGGCTGTTGAGAAGAGATTCACATACCCTGCAGAGAGGAACTGCTGGTCCTGCAAGGCTGACTTTCTAGAAGCCAAGCCATTCATTTAGTACCCACGTTTCTAGATAATATTAAGATTTTACGTGTGTGTGTTTCAATTCAATGTGAATTCAACCTCAATGTGTTTCATTTCCATGTATGTATGTTACATATATGATACATATGTACGTAATGCACAACAAGCAGTAATATTTTTGTGTCAGAAATGAATGGCTTCCTTATGGCTTTTTTTTCCCCCAGTGTTGTAAAACTTAGTCCTTTTAACAATCTCTTGCTATTAATATGAATTCATAAGGACTAATGTTTTTTCTGAAAATGCTTTCTTTTGCTGTATCTCTTTGACTGTTTGCAGAATCAAATGAAGTGATTACAAGCTAAGGCAGACACAGTAAACCTTTAGAAAATAACCTTATCTTCCTTGAGATGGGTGAAGATAGTTCACCATCTTCAATAGAAATGATGCCTTGTGGAATTGCAGCTCAGAACCCAGTAGGTGCCTCAGTGATTTCTCATAAACTACTTTGATCTGAATGCACTTTGATTCTGAAATGGCCACAGGATCATATATTGAGTAGGCAGTCAGCTACAAACACATGGAGAGGAAAGTGGCAGGCATTTTAATGGGTTGATTACTAGCATTTTTATGATTATTATTTTTCCAGTGGTGTGACAGCAAACAGTGCTGTTGCCATTTCAAACGTATCCACAGGGATGCATAATGAAAGTGATTTGAGACATTGTGTGGAATAGCAAAATCCACATTTCTAAGAGTATCTTTCACTTCAAAAAACAAAAAAAAAAGATAGTTTTCCCAGAGTTTTAATACTGGCTAGGGTTTTACATAGTTTATAGAAGGCTTTTCTTTCCTTCTTCTGAAGTTTATGGTAGAAATACGTGTCAAAACCAAATCTTTTGCAAAAGAATGGCTGTAATACTCATGACTATTGGTGGTGACTTGTAGATATAAATTTTATATTTTGTTTAGCAATGGATGTCATCAGCATTGCCTAATAGCAAAAGTCACTATAAGAAATACTCCAAGGGTTTTTCTAGAACGTAATTTAAAGCATGTTTATATAATAACACAGTATTCCTAAAAAGCTTTTGTGTAATTACTTGGGGGGAAAGGTTGTTTCTCTAATCCCTTTAGTTTGGCTGCATAAAATGTGTCGTGAGCATGGGTTACAAAAAGGCTAAATCTATGTGGTTCTCATCTCTTCTATTTTAAGTAGAGAAACAGGAAATAAAAAGGCATAATCACAATTTGTTACACTATAGGCTGAGTTAAATACAACAGGAAAGAAATGAAGAAAAACAATCTGTACTTGTTGCTGCATAAATTACAAGGAAGAGAAAGAAAAGGTCTTGCTGACGTTGTCCAGTGCTGTTATCCAGGGTAACTCTCAACATGATCCGTTGCATCTTGCACTGTGAAATTTGAACAACTATTTATTAAAAATATATATTTTGCCTCTGCTAATATTTTAATGACTGACTCTTTCATAATTTTGATTTACTAGTCCCATTTTATTGAAGAATTGAAATTGTCAGGTTAGACTGGACTACTTATCACTTGTCGGTAATTTTGTCAAGTTTAAAGTGTTGCAGTGATTAAAGTCCCTTCAGTTTGGACCTACTTTGCACACCTCTGGCTATGAAGACTCTTGCTGTGTCTAGAAGTTGAAGTTGTTAGTAAATATCTCTCTTAATTAGTAAACAAAAGTTGCACATAACTTGTTTTTGTCAGAAGATGCAAACTCTGAGCTGTTAATGCTTTAGTCAGCTTGATGTGTTGGTCACAATGTTGTTGTATCTTTTCAAGAGATGGTGCCAGCTTGATGTGTTGGTCACAATGTTGTATCTTTTCAAGAGATGGTGAACTAAATGCTGACCTCTGATACTAGCCCTCAGAATAAAGATGATGAACTCTAGCCCTCTGACTAGAGATGTAGAATTGTTTGAAGGCATATTGAAGGTTCTATTTACTTAAAAAAATACCTTTCCTTTTATTAACTGTTTCTTTTGGTTCCAAACTACCACTGTAAACTAGAGACAATCATCTTCCTAGTCACTGTGAAAATTTCAGAAATAATTGCAGCAATAATATCATGAAACACCAGAGTGCATGTTCAGTAGGGACTTTGGAGGTGTGTATATATTACATTCAAAACTTAAATATTCAGAATTTAATCTGCAGGGTAGTCACAGGCATGATCCCAAAGGCTTCCCATGGAAATATTGCAGTCTGTGCCAGGCTTTATTTGCAGAAGTGTGTATACTTTAAGGCTGGCCTTAAGATCAGAGGTAAAAATCTCTTTTATGAGCCCAAGCCAGAGCAGAATGGCCATGTGCATTACGAGTATTTATATAGTCCACCACTGTACCAGAGTTAGCCAGCCTGACCTGCACCAAAGAGGACATGAGGTGTAAAACATCTGTTTTACAGCATGTAGTTTAAAGTCCATTTATATGTTATTAGACTCATAGAATCATTTAGATTGGAAAAGACCCCTAAGACTGAGTCCAACCATAAACTGTAAAATATATTATTAGTAATAATCTATACAGAACTAAAGATGAAAGAGTAATGAAGGGAGGGTTTGACTGTAGAAGTAAAGAGTTGCACTTACAGGTATTCTGAAGTGCGAATACAGTGAGTATTTAGACTCCCTCAGTTGTAATGTGGTCTGGTTTTTGCCTCTTCCACTCTGGAGACCACAGTAACTTTGAGTGCATGGACTAGAATATAAAGTTTGTCCATTTTGAGATGGAGATTTTGGGCTGGACAGATGTAAGAGTCAAGGCTGCTGCCATTTGTCCCCTGCATGGAAGTACAGACCACCTTGCTGCTGGTGATTAAAACAATTATGGGTTCTGTTTTAATGCTTTATGGGTTGTGTATCTCATACACAAATTAATATTTCATTTTGCTACTGAAATATGGCTTTCCTGAGTTCTATTTTGTAGTGCAATTGAAGGAAACAATTCTTAAAATGCATGTTAGGAGAAAAGAGATGAACTGGTGCCTCTACAGATGCAGATATTGTAACTGAATGTTGAAGTATCAAGGAAGGAGCACACACACTGTCTATAGTTACATGCTTCATAACATTCTTCTCAATCTTTGCCTTTTTTTAAACCTGCCTATGGAGCCAAATCTTAGCACTTTACGAGTGGTGATGATACAGACAAATGTTTAGCAGCTGGTTTATTGAAAGTCACTTAATAAAATTGTTTACATAAGAAACTAGCAACACCTCTTTTCCATTG